TGTTGCACTGCAATTTCCCTCACGGGATCAATAAAGTATCTATCTATCTAATAGAGCAAATTGTGGGGACTCTCCACAGTAATCTTTTATGTTAGTCCTGAGTGCTGAATATTCATCTGATTCCAAGTGCATGTTGCATTACTTAATTTACTGTTCATGTTTATTGCCCTGTATTGCTGTTGTCCTCAAACTGTAAAACACTGTACAATAGAGAATTTTGTACATCCATCAATACCTAAAAATATTTTTACTGTGAAATTGTGAAATCATACTTCAATGGTATGTGTATGTTGTGTATAAACACTATATAACAGAAGTCTAAAGCTATATTGTTAAGCTAGAATTCCTTAGCTCCCTCTGTGCAATGATGATGTACAGTATGAGTAGATCCGACACCTATTGGACACCTCAATGTCTCGCAGTAGTGTGATTTGTGCATTTCTAGTTGTTTGTAGGCTGTTTTTCTTATAATCCATGTGGCTTTATACTTATGATCAAAAAGAGTGTCCAGGGCTAGTCTGCATGTTTGATTAGTGAATGTCTGTCTACGGGTTGAGAAATCATATTAGCGTCTATGTGTGCATACAGTTTTCACTGTCTGTGTTTGTCTGTGCCACAGGTTTGAGAAGGGCAGAATCTATACCTTCATTGGGGAGGTGGTGGTATCAGTGAACCCCTACAAACAGATGGATATCTATGGCAAGGAGATTATTGAGACGTACAGGGGCCGCGAGCTGTATGAGAATCCCCCGCACCTGTATGCTGTGGCCGATGCCGCATACAAAGCCATGAAGAGACGAGCCAAAGACACCTGCATTGTCATCTCAGGTCAGAACCTGTCCTCCTGTCTTTATTTTCTATTGTATCATAACCCAGTCTATAACACCACAAGACAGATAAAGTTAATCGAGGGAAAGGGTCTCCCATATGGTGCTGGAGGTTTTGAGAGCTGGAAGAAGCCGCTGAGATGGTCCAATTAAGCCAAATACTGGCCCTCCAGGATTATTACTGGGGACACCAGATTATGGGTGTTCGAAAGAACAAGAAAAGTAACAACAGCAGAAAACAAGAAGTGAAACACCAGGATCCAAGCTGAATGATGGAGCTGTGTGTATGTGTCTTTCAGGGGAGAGTGGAGCAGGGAAGACTGAGGCCAGTAAATACATCATGCAGTACATTGCTGCCATCACTAACCCCAGCCAGCAGGCAGAGGTGGAGAGGTAAGGGCAGGGTGATCTTCAAATGTGCTTTTGGATGCATCAGTGAAAGAAGACCAGGAATACTCAGTGGAGTGTTTGTCCATATGCTTACTTGTGTATGATTGTGGGTGTCTTTGGTGCATGTGTGTGTTGTGGTGCACGTGTATTGCCTCTGGTTTAACACTGCTGTCTCTGTACAGTGTGAAGAATGTGTTGCTCAAGTCGAACTGCGTGCTGGAGGCTTTCGGGAACGCCAAGACCAACCGCAACGACAACTCCAGTCGCTTTGGGAAGTACATGGACATCAACTTTAACTTCAACGGAGACCCTACTGGTGGTCACATCAATAACTACCTGCTGGAGAAAGTCAGTCCTGTGTTCAGTAAAACACCACAACTGAACATACACATACATACTGTATCCACAGTGTGAGGGGGTCTGCATTCCTAAATGGACTATACAGATAAGGTTTCTGTAGGAATCAGCCATTTTGGCTCATGTGTATACCAAGAATACACTGAGCCAATGCAGACTCACTCACACATAGTCACATAAAAAAAAATATTTTGTGCAGGAAAGTATGATGTGTTACTTACCCTAATGCCTTCATGCCCAGAAAAAATCTGTAAGTTAGTTACAAACCAATGTTTCCATCTATAATGCTTTCTTCTTCACCAGGTCCTGGCCTGTATTTTGATTAAATTAATCATATTAGTGGAAATGCACTACATAACACTACAGGTAGTACATGTGCATCCCAATAGTGCAGGGATGAGTCCTGATCCTGCACTATTGGATTAAACATCAAGGTACATTCTTGTATAGCCAGATTCAGTCTTGATTCCAGATGATGCTCTGCTGACTGTAGTACAATCTCCTGCTTATCAATCACAGTGGAGGCAGCAGAATGGTCCCTACTCCCAGAAGAGAAAAGCAAGAACAATGAGTTATGTAAAAAAAAAGAATTAATGGGAGATCAATTTGAAAGGCTGTTTGCCTCCTTTTAAATTCTAAAGCCAGTACCCCATAATGGTGTCAGGGAGCATTGTGTTGATCCTTCTCTGTAATGGGTTTGGACATCCATGTAATAAGAACGATCTGGACGAACACTGAAGCACATAGACCATTTGAAATCTTGATTGCTGTGCACTGCAGGGAAGGAGATGTGCATTACTGATTCAGTCATCAACAAACAAATATCACTGTCTGTGACTTTCTGTACAAAAGCTAACCAAATAACAGGGTAGCAATTTCCTCTTGCTTTCTTCCTCTCTGTCTGCTGAAGGAATGTGTTTGTCAGGTCCCTCAGGCAATCATTGCACAATGTGGTATGATGACATGTTGAACAGTGTTAAAACTATCTAAAATTATAGAAGTAAGACTTCTCTTGTATAGGCTGGTGAATAACTATCGTTTGATCTCTGTCAAATGCAATTCAAATCTAATTTAAATTCACAAAAATTTAATTAGCAAAGATGTTTTCCAAACGCTTAAAGACAAACCCCTGGAAGCTTATTATAATTAAATTATTTGCTTTCACACATTGCCATCATTTATATTGCTTTTATATACATGATAACAACAAGATCTGTTTTCTTACTTTATACTTGTTTTAGTCTCGAGTCATCAAGCAACAGGGAGGAGAGAGGAACTTCCACTCTTTCTATCAGGTAAGACCTACAGTATGCAGGCTAGGTAACACAACTGCTAAGGGAGATGCATCCTTTTAAGGGATTGGAGATGATATATATTTAGTTAATAATAATAATAATAATAATAATAACAATAATAAAAAAAATAATTGCTTACACTTATATAGCGCTTTTTCTGGACACTCCACTCAAAGCACTTTACAGGTAATGGGGACTCCCCTCCACCACCACCAATGTGCAGCATCCACCTGGATGATGCGACGGCAGCCATAGTGCGCCAGAACGCTCACCACACATCAGCTATCAGTGGGGAGGAGAGCAGAGTGATGAAGCCAATTCATAGATGGGGATTATTAGGAGGCCATGATTGGTAAGGGCCAATGGGAAATTTGGCCAGGACGCTGGGGTTACACCCCTACTCTTTTCGAGAAATGCCCCTGGATTTTTAATGACCACAGAGAGTCAGAACATCGGTTTTACGTCTCATCCGAAGGACAGCGCCCGTTTACAGTATAGAGTCCCCATCACCATACTGGGGCATTAGGACCCACATGGACCACAGGGTGAGCGCCCCCTGCTGGCCCCACTAACACCTCTTCCAGCAGCAACCTTAGTTTTTCCCAGGAGGTCTCCCATCCAGGTACTGACCAGTTATATCATACTTATATGAAGACAGACAAGACAAGGCTTATTTCCAAGAGAATGTAAACAAGGTTACAAATGAGAGAAGGCCATGTGTCTGGTTATTAACTGCTAAATAATCTGAGGTGATCACACTCAATAGCTCAAGTAGGTTGCATCAGCATACATAAGCAGCAAAGGAACAGGTAAAGGTTTATTCCATGCTGAAAAGAAAAGACACAAGCTGTTTCTTGAACTTCAGTAACATAACCAGGTAGCTTCTTCCAGACTCAAACTAACTTTTAGACTGCAGTTTCAGTTTTAACTGCACTTTCCTGTTGTTTCCACTTGTGATCCCTGGTTCATGTTTTACTGTTCATTCTAAAAAAGTCTATTGGGTTGATTTAGTCATCCCCATGAATCAGGTCCCTGCAGTTTTCAAAGCTTAAAGGTTTCAGTTTTTTCAGCCTTTCAGTGTAGGACATTCCTTTAAGCCCAGAAATGCATCTGGTTCCTGTTCTTTAGACTAATTCAATTCAGCAATATTCATTTTGTGAATAATTTGTAAAGCAGTGACCTAAATTATGGATAGTATTCTAAATGAAGTCTTACTAGTGCATTGCACAGTTTTCAATTCAATGTATTTTATATAGAGCCTTTCACAACAAGGTTGTCCCAAGTCACTTAACAATGCAAGTGATCATGTTGTGAATACAGAACAGAAAAGAACAGAAAAGACCAAAAGACTTTATGGCCAAGTTGTTTCCTGGTTTGCTTGTGCTTCTGCCTGTCCATTTGTCCCTGTGTGTCTGCATGTCTGTGTTCCTTGTCTAAACGTCTGGGTGTCTGTCTGCATTTCCAGCTGCTAATGGGTGGCTCGGAGGACATGCTAAGGTCCCTGCATCTCAAGAATGACCCTGCAGCCTATACCTACACCAGAGAGGGATCCGTCTTTCAGGTGAGTGTGTTAGACCCTTCATCTCTCCTTCATCAGGAGCCTAGCACTGTGTTCTGCACTGATGCTAACTTTCTGGCTAGAGAACTTGTGTGCTTTTATGTCAGGCCCCTTAGGCTATCATTGCCCAAAGTTTGTTCTTACGTTGAATAGTATTAAAACTATTAATATGATCAAAGTTTGAGGGATGTTTCGCTACTATCAAGGCCTTCTCATCTATGTATGTAGCAGATGCAGTCCATTTTCCATTACAGTTTTTTTTGCAATTTTTCCTAGTCAAACAACCAGTCCCTCAATCTGTATTTCGTTATACACATTAAGATACCAGATTTTCTTTTCATTATGTACATTACTGTACTTCACTACCTCAGCAGCTCTTCTATTTGCCTTGTATTAAAGAATTTGTAATTAAGCTGGCATTTGTGCTGAAGCTCCATCCTTTACTAACTTAATATTCATTCACAATGGACTCTAAATACTAAGGAAGAAAAAATCATAGTATGTTCAAATCCATAACAGCACAGTCCACTGCTAGCTAATAAAACACAGAACGACAAGACGAATATCCTGGTCTGTACAGTGGCTGGGCCCTTCACTGATCTGTAGAACAGTATCTGTGTTGTGTAATAGCTTCCTGTCCAGTGACACTGTCTTTATGTCAGAGGTGATTGTTCTTGCCGTGTTTTCAGACTTCAAATGATGACCGGACCAACCACAAGGCTGTGCTGAATGCCTTGAAGGTGATTGGCTTCACACCTGAGGAGATTAACTCAGTCTACAAGATCCTGGGCACCATCCTACATCTTGTGAGTGGGATCTCAGCATTTGCAGGGGACTGCTAGCTCTAGCCAAGACACCTTCCTGTGAATTTCTCAATAACACAAATCACTTACTAACCTAAACTTTAAAGAACTTGTTGTTGGTTGCTGTAACACAGGGACCCAGTCCTGCAGAGCCACATGGTCTTCTGGTCTTGATGACAATTGAAGCATGAGCCAGTTATTGCATTGATAAATCATTCAATCAGATCTTCATTCATTGCTCTCAATCAGTCCAAGATTTCATTTTTACCAACACTTTATCTGTCCTCCTTCATAAGATCTGATGAGCAACTAAACCTTTTCTTAGTGCAATGAAGACTTTAATCAGATAACAGCTTAGCAAAGAAGAAAACCAGTCAAAAGTGCTTCTAAAACAGAGACTGAGACAGGATGTTTCAAAGCTGTGCATTGCACAATTGGACTGTGAAAACAGTCAGTTTTGAACACAAACATATAATTAATCCTCCCAATTCTTTGTTGGCTTTTTTTGGTTTTTATTTGTAATTTGCTAAGTTTAACGGAAGGTGTGGTTTAAGACAGTGCATATTTATTTTAAGAATCACGTGGTTTACTATGACTCAAGCCTACTGACAGCCACAGTGAAGCAATTCTTTTTCCTCAGAGAATAAAAAGCTCTGAACATCCAGTTTACTTTCTTTTACTCAACAATGCCAATTACTGCTTTGGAGGCCTGGTAATGAGGGTGGTAACAGATGCCCAAAGATGATACTCCTAATAATACTTTAGAATAGAAGGACCAAAAACAAAGTTGACACTCCTGTTTGGGTTTGGTGATGGACATTTGTGGTGATTCATTATCTTGGGTGTCAGGTTTAACATTCTCAGCTCTCTGCCTCTCAGAATCTAAATGCCCACAAAAGCAGTATCAGGAAGCCACATTGCTTCTGCCCCACGGTCATCAGCTGCACAGTACAAGAGAGAGAGTGTATGAGAGAAAGAGCGTGTTGCACTTAGTTACCTAGTTGTGTTGTAGCTTCTGCTATCAAACTGAAAAGATCTTCTGTGATCACTTAAGACCAGCAAAGGTAATGGATTGTCCATTATGCTTGTCAAACTTTCTAGTATTGTATTTGTATGCACCACCTTAAATAAATCAATAGTTGTTGCATCTAGTTGTTGCATCTATTTTTAGTTGCTCATGATGACCATCAAGTCGTGGAAAAATTTCAGGATCAGGCTCTGAACTGAAACGACCTCTCTGGTCCATCTTCCCAGGGGAATGTGGAATTTGTGTGTGATGGGGAGAGTACTCAGGTCGCTAATGAGGAGCTGGTTGACCACATCGCGGCCCTGACGGGCACAGAGCCCAGCGCCGTGAGCAAGACCCTGCTGTTTCGCACAGTGGCCACAGGGGGCGGCGAAGTCATTGACAAAGGCCATAACGCACAGGAAGCTAGCACAGGCCGCGATGCCTTTGCCAAGGTAAGGCTCCCTCTCTCCTGCTCAGACGGAGACATCATGCTCACACACAGGCACAAACAGTAAAAAGCAGTTGACATGTTGCCCACTTGTAACAGTTTGTCTTTGTGATAATTATTTTAATCAAACAATTAAAGAAGTGACAAGTAACAGGTTTATTCCATGCTGAAAAGAGAAGAAAGAAAACACAACTTTTTGGCTATGGAGCCTTCTTCAGGTGTGTCTCCTGAACTAAATAAAGAAGTGGCTGAGCACATATTTCCTGCTGCAGAATGAATAGGAATGTCCAGTGTTACTCCTGGTTTAGACTTTGAGGTGGGTGTTTTATTAGTAATATAACTGGATAACTGAGATGGAAGGTCTTGGAGTTGATTCTATAGTCAAGGTTCAATTAGGCTGAATCTGGGTTACAATTAAACTTGGACAGGAAATATTGATATATTCAGCCCAATTACTTACCTAATTAGTGTTGAGGATTCAGAAAGAAATCAGTCACCTCTTAGCGTTGGACCTGAGCTGGTGCTGGGATAAGAGTTCCCCCAGACTTCAATTGGGATATCCAAACCCTAACCCAACAGTAAAACTGAACCCCAAACTTCACACCAACCTGGCGATGTTATCCGAAATGGACCCTCTTACACCAGTCTTGCCTTTAACATAATCTATGAACCTTGCCATGTCCCAGTGCCATCTTTAAATATATTTAAAACCTCAAGTCTATTACCTGCCCAACATTAAACGAAGATGTGGGGTTAGGTTACTGTCCTTACTGAACCCAAGTTGAAACTATGTGTGGAGACTATGAACAAGAGACATTTCTTAACCCAAAGGGTGGTGGGTATGTGGAAAAAAACTACCCACCTCCATTGTTTAATCAAATATGCTGGCTTCTTTCAAAAATAACTGGATGCGTTCCTTTAAATTCATTATCTACTAACTTCCAAAAGGGTGAGATAGGAAGAATGGCCTCTTACTTTTAAACGCCTTTATGTAGGGATGTCAACCAGCATAGCAAGGACAGAGCTCAAACTGCAACTGGTTCCATTTCAGGATTTTCTCCTCTCTGCTCATACAGTATCTATGGTTTGAAATATGTCTCTGTTCCTCTCTCTCAGGCACTGTATGAACGGCTCTTCTGTTGGATTGTGAACCGTATTAACACGGTGATCGAGGTGAAAGATTATAACCCTGTGCTTCATGGCAAGAACACAGTCATCGGTGTGCTAGATATCTATGGCTTTGAGATCTTCGACAACAACAGGTAGCGTATTGTTCCCTCCACACCGCTACCTGTGCTCTGTTTGTACATTCTGAACTCTGGTTAGGTACAAGCTGGCTAAAACCCTCCTACTTTGCAGAAAGAGTGAAGATATTTCTGAAAATATATTAGGATATGTAGAATCCTCTGAGATGCCCCCTGGTGGCTTTATGGCATCATAGACCCTAAGGAAATGCATTTTACAGTACTTTCACTAAGTCCTATAGTTGAAAAAACAGGAGTTCTTTCTCTAAACCTAAATTCCCTAAATTATGAAGGTGGGCATTAAAATCTTTTAAAAACTTCATTTCATTTTGAAGGTACTTTGTAAATAAATGGTGTTTTTCCTATTACAACTGTCACCCTCAGCCACATGGCCAGACTGCTGATAGCAAATCACACCTTGGTTCTTAAACAAGAACCTCTGGCATTTCTACTTCTGTCCGTATACCTGTCTTGTGCTCAAACCCCCTTTTTCTCTGACTGTCCTTTTACTCACTAGTTGGTCTGTCCACCTCCAGGCAGGTGAGGCCCCCAATCTTTCTACAGGCCTTTTCTCATCTCAGCAGGTCTGTGTTTCTATATTTGCCACAGTCTGCTTGAGGTAGATGAGATCCATTCCTGATGCACGATGTGTATGATGCCGCACTTCTCACTTTTTCCTCCCTCTGGTAGTTTTGAGCAGTTCTGCATTAATTACTGCAACGAGAAGCTGCAGCAGCTGTTCATCGAGCTCATCCTGCGGCAGGAGCAGGAGGAGTACCAGCGTGAGGGCATCACCTGGCAGCACGTAAGTATGCTTTCTCACCTGCCCTCACCACACAGTCACAGCGTACGAGAACCCTTTTTTCACACATTGTTCTCGAGGGCTTAATATTCTTCTTATTATTAATTGTCATCAGTTTTCTTCTTCCATGTTAAATCTGTTATTTCACCTGGCAACATTACTAAAGGTGCCAAATCTATATTATTACAGATGATCACTTTACTTTATTAACCCTATACAATTTCTTTGCATAAGGAATTTGTCTTTTTTCGCATACCCCAGCTTGCTCTCCAGGAGACACACAGACAGAGAGGGAGAAGCCTGGGGACACAGCGCAGGGTTAGCCTTTGTACAGTGCCCCTGAGGCAGTTGGGGTTAAGGGCCTTTTTCAGGGGCCCAACGGAGTAGGATTCCTCTGCCAGCCACGGGATTTGAACCCGCAACCCTCCAGCCATAGCTGCAGATCCTTAGCCACAGTGCCACTGCTCCGCCCCATATATGTCTCAGGCTGGGTTATGTGTCTTTGTCTCCTTCTGCCTTCTTCTTGCAAGTATGCTTCCTCTGCGAGAGAGAGGTATCTAGCTTTCATTTCTTTATTGAACAAACAGGTAGAGCTCATCAAATGTGAAGAAAATCACGACGTGCTTGCTACCAGTCTGACAGCCACATATTTCACATCACATTGAAATAAAAAACCCATGGATACTGACGCTCTGCGGGAGAATTTGTGTGCATTGTTGTCCGTGTGGGGCTCCAAGGGCGGTGTATCTGAGCTCTGTTCTAATGTGTGCCCCCGCCCTCTGCAGATTGAGTACTTTAATAACCAGATCATCGTGGACCTGGTGGAGCAGCCTCACCGAGGCATCATCTCCATCCTGGATGAGGCGTGCCTGAGTGTGGGCAAGGTCACTGACACACTCTGCCTGGAGAGCATGGACAGCAAGCTGGGCCAGCACCCCCACTACACCTCCCGCAAGGTCAGTTCACGCCTCATGCTAGATGGGCAATCTGCGCTCCTGGTGGAGTGTTCAGTCGAGGTGTCAAGACGAGTCGAGACTGAAAAAAAGATGTGTGTGAAAGAATTCTAGTTGATAATGATAGTTAAACAGTTATTGTTTAGAAGTTTAGAATTAGTACAGGGAAAAAGCTATAAAAGTTATGTTAGGACTCTGCTTGGCTTTGTTTTGGTTTAGACATCGTGCTTATCAGGAAAATGAGCTGTCGAAGGCTGAACTTGAGATAAACAAGTGGCCTTCTGAAAGACGCACTATGCCTAAATCTCACACTACTCCTTGAGCACAGCCTTTCAGGGGATGGGAATCACAAAAAATAAATAATTTACTTCTGGCTCTTTTTTAGGACTTGTTTAACATATGTTTTCCTTTGGTTTAAAATGCAAGTTTAACAATTTTAGACTTTCGGTCTTTATGCCTGAGAAATTACTTCCAATGGATGCCGACAGTGCAGCTGCAGTAGAGGGCAGCATTTCCCTGTGAAATTCAACCGAGAAACTAGTGTCTGGAAGACACATTAATATGTGTCTATTATGTGATGTAGTATATGAAAAAGATAGTGTCTATTAAGACAAATCTTTATGCAAAGTGAGAAAAATACCCCCTTTGCTCCATTCTTTTATTTCAACAGGCATTAAGGGCCCGCTGAATGTCTCCACCTAGCATGAGAAGCTTTCGCAGATTGTTTCAACATCAATTGGACACATCAGACAGCGTGAACTTAGTCTTACTGAAAGACACAGGTCACAGCTCAGGGTCCTTGGCTTTGAACCAGATAGGGGAGCCTTGTGTGTGGAGTTTGCATACCCAACCTATGGTTGAGTTTTCTCTGGGTGCTCTGATTTATTCCAACAGTCCAAGACATGCTGTCTAGGTGAATTGGCATCTCTAGTACCAATCTCTAAATTGTCCCTGTATGAATGTGTGTGTCCTACAATATAGAGACTGGATGTTCTCTACCTTGTGCTAGTTGTCTCCCAGGTTTGGCTACAGCTTGCTGTGACCTGTATTGGACGAAGTGGTTACTGAAAGTGGGTGGAGTACTTCTAAAACCTTAGATACTTTTTTAATTGGTTGAATATGAAAAAAAAAACATTTGTTGATTCTCATTTGCCGACACCTCGTTAGTATTTTGTTTTCTGTTCGGAATTATATTTGACTTAATTTTTTCTTTATTAGTTGCCAACCCCATGGGTGTTATTTCTCACAGGATGAATACTCTAACCTTGGGATGCAGGAATAAAAGGTGCCTCAATTTAATGACTGCGTGTCTTGCTGAACAATCCAAGAGCACTGTGTTTAGTGCCAGGTTATTGATTCGCAGGAGCGTGGAGATGGGAGTGTGCATGAAAATGATGTTCCTGCTCTGTCAGTTCTTACCTTGACCTTGTGTATCTCATTGTGTGACAGCATGTGTTTGTGTCAGTACGGTGAAGGGGGGGGGGTGACCTACTGGTAGGGTTATTGTGTGGCTTTCTTTTTACACATAGAGAATTACCAAAGGGATGACATGATCATTTTTGCCTGTGCTACAGAGTCAGACGGCAACCTGTGTTAGTGGTGTTTCTGTGAGAGTGAGATGTGTCAACCTCCCTGTCTGTGCAACATGTACAGTAGGAGACTGGAGCTCTCAGTTTTATGTGCCATTCCCCTGCTACAGCCTCAAACCCAAACCCCATTTGATCCTGAGCTGTGCTACAGCCAGGCCTGACTAGTAACCCCGTGTTCTTCCCCTGCAGCTCTGCCCCACAGACAAGAGCATGGAGTTCCACCGTGACTTCCGCATTCGACACTACGCTGGAGACGTCACGTCAGTACACCCCGTGCCTACATCTGTGCTAATGCGCGTGTATACAAAATGTGTCTGGTATAATGCATGTGTGTTTCTGCGGTGTCCCACCATATGCACGCTCCTACATTCTCCCTCTCTCCTGATAGCTTTCTTCCTTTGTGTGCCTTCTCTCCTTCAGTCTCTGCGCCTTGTTCTAACTTTCCTGTAATTCTCTTTTGAGGTCATTTGCTTCAAGTCCTTGAGGCATCAGCCTCAATCAGCTCCCGGGCTCTTCCCCAGTATGATTAGTGACTGACATGCCCTTGATTGAGTTTGTCACTTCTGAGTTTTGCATTCATTGGTCAAAATACTACACAATGCACTTTCCTGCTGTGGGCAGCTGCACTTAAACCCTGTTCGAAGTTGTACAGCTGGCTGAAATTATTCTGACTAGCCATAATTTGTGAGGTAGCACAAATTGCAGTCAGTGTGAGCCTCCATGGTCTCCTGTACTGTCTGTAGTTAAGGTAATCCTAAATATTTTATATCTCTCCCCTAGAGTCAGTACTGGGAGAAGAAGATACAGAAATTCAATGACTTATTGCAATAGGAAATGAAGAATAATATATTTCACAGCCCATCAGAACTCTGATGGTATTGAAATGCAACAGGCATTCAAAACACTTAAAGCAAAAAGAACAATCTAGCTTTTACACGTCCTTGTTGAAGCAAAGCAGAGGATTCATCTAAAAAAGAAGTATCAGCCAATGGTCAGGGTGTGGACTTGGGAGCCGTGTATCTCTAGTCCCTGACAGAGCTGTTTCCAGCGACATGACTGATCTGGGTTATTACTGAGGGTCAGGAGAACAGCTGTGGATGAGCACAAAGAATGAGTCACCCAGAGGCACTGACTCACTGACAGGCGAGAGTGGGCAACAGGTGAGGCGCCCTGCCTGGTGGAGAGCGGATATTGTTATTTGGCCGGTGTAGTCTGTTCCTAATCAATACTGCCTCCTGTCTCTGAAGGACGGGGAGAGAGAGCGAGATGAATTTGTGAGAAGAGGGGGTTATAAAACATTCTAAGTCACAAACACGAGAATTTTGGCACAAAAGGGCTTGAAATCATAAAGTCTGGGTTAAGATGAAGTCATGTTCCCATCACAGAGCATTCAAGGTCTATAATAAAATAGCATCCTTATACATCTGATTTAATAAGTGCTGTCTTTTTTACCCTTGTTGCTTGGACTTTTTTTACCTATGTGTGGCATGGATTAAAATACAGCTGTGGTGAAGGAAGGAAGAAACTCTTGTGAGTTTCTTGGGAGTGCTTGCTGCCCTCGATCCAGGAATAGCAGTGGAGGACGGTTGTGTCTCACATGCTGTATGGGAGTCGAGAGGAAGCAGGAGGTCCCCTGGGTGAACAGGCTTGGAAGAGAGGGAGATGTTGTCTGAGTGCGACTGTCACCTCCTTTAATATCTCTGTGACTCTGATTACACAGTCTACTCTCTGGCTATATTTACTCCTGCTGCCCCACTTTATTCATCCTCCTTTGGCTCAGAGGCTGTGACCTACTTTGCTGACAGTTCCCAATCTGTTTGGCCACACCCTGCCAGGCCCTGCAGCAACCCTGTTGTGACCTGGGGCTAGCCATCCTGGGGCAGGCTGGGATAGCGCAGGGTGCTGGAGGTGAAGTGTGTCCGAGAATAATCCACACCCCATCTCCTGTGCTAATGCTATGTACGTGCATGTACAGTCATTTTATCTTTGGGAAACCCAAATGTGTTACATTCTTTATCTGACTTGGAGCTACATTTTCACTTTGAAGCGTTTCATTCAGCTCTGTGGAGCTCTCCAGGGCTCAGAGATCTGACTGGAGATATCACAGTTTTATCAAAGGACTGGCAGGAGTCTTGCTGTTGTATGCATTGCTAGAAGAGACAAGGATATTGACCTCCCCTGCTCTACAGGAATATACTGTATCAGCATGCCTGGACTATTAGGGCTTGATCCTCACTCACTGCCTTTAATATAGCACAGATGTTACGTTCCATTCCAGGAGAGCTGTAGTGCAGTGAGTCCCTCATCTAATCAGACAACACTGTCATAATGACAGCTGTTTAATTTGCTGGATCTGATTATCAATTAAATAATAAAATAGGACAATTAAAAAAAATAATCACGGACCATATGTCCGCTGGAGCCCGCATGTGGTTCCTGCTTCTCTTTTAAAACTCTTTTAATCTCCTTTTCTGCCATCTGAAGAACCTTATCCTTTAGTTCTTAAGCCCCTTCTCTTAGGTTTAAGGTCATTTTGAGGATTTGGACATAAAGACAGTCACCCCTGAACCTGAACTCACTGTGTCAGTTAACCACTGTATCCAGCCCTACCATATTGAAATGAGCACTGCTAAAATTAATAGAAATGTCCTATTTTCCTACAGTCCTTCTGCAACACTGTGATGCACATAAGACATCTGCATGAGTGCCCATATTCAACTTAACACAATTTGGTGCATAGTTTTTGATCGCAGTTGTATTAATTATATATTAATGCTTCCCGGGTCCTCTGTAAAGGTAAAATGGTAGTTTCTCAAAAGGTCATGTAGTTTGAGAACAGCGCCATTGAGAACAGCGCCGTTGGGTAGAGCTGCTCTCTCAGGCGTTTTTTCCGCATCCTGGAGATAATCTAGAGGGCTGAGCTTTGGCCCTTATGCCTACATTTATTCAGAGATGGGGTGGGGTGAGTGAAGGTGTATAACAAGCCAATACGGTCATTTAGAGACATGTCTAGTTCATTTGGAAAGTTCTTAAAATACTTAAGGATGTTTCTAAATTGTTTGCACTACCTCTTGCAAATGAAGAGGCAGAGACCCTTAAGTTTTAAAGGACAGTCAAAAACCTCTTTTTTTAAAAACCTGGGAGCAAAGTAGTTTTGGACAAATTAAAGAGAGTGATTGATAAAGTTAACCTTCATATTTTCATATGGAATTAAAAACCAGGTGATGCTGAGGCTCTCCAGGAATTCGAGTGAGGAGCATTACTCTAGACCAGTGACATGAGAAGTATTTTAGGATGTTTTTTAAAACTAGTTCTCATCTAAATAGATGTTTCCTTACATATTAATTAATTAACCTCATTATGATGAACAAGCTTGAATAAACCAGATTTATGGCTTGACTTTTCAGGCCTTAAAAAAGAATAAATAGGCTCATCTATTGCAGGAATGCTTCATTTAATAGAAAAATAAATTAAAAGGCATTAATTTTAGTACACAGTATTTACAGGCAGGTCCCGAAGGGTCTCTCCTGCACCTGCAGTACGTTAAATCTATCTCTGTTGAATATTCTGATGCTATTAGCTTGTAATGTGATAATTTCATACAAGATGTGCATATATTGTTTTGTAAATGATCAGCTTTATAGATTGTTCACGGCTGATGAGTGAGATGAATTTGCAGACTAATGATTCATCTACAATAGCTCAAGAATTTATTCAATAACAAACATTTAGTTATGTGCGGTTATACTCAAAAAGGCAACTATTTCCTATTGACTTAAAAAAATATGGTGTGAATCTTGAATCTTCCCAGGATTAATTTTTTTTTGTAGCAGAGTGTTTTTTGAGTGATGAATTCTGTCCTGTGTCCTCTTCATTCCAGCATTGTCTTTTGCAGTCCCACCAGGGCAGAAACCCAGATTTAGAATAATTAGACTTTTTGTACAGTTGGGACCTTCAAGCCCCAACAGACCAAAAAGGATTAAGTTAACAGTATGCGTTTTAAGGAACCTCCTTGTGCATCTTAGATTTTTTAAATGATAAAGACATATCTGAAGTAATAATTACAATCATAATTGCTTACACTTATATAGCGCTTTTCTGGACACTCCGCTCAAAGCACTTTACATGTAATGGGGACCCCCCTCCACCACCACCAATGTACAGACCCACCTGGATGATGCGACGGCAGCCATAGTGCACCAGAACGCTCACCACAGCTATTAGTGGGGAGGAGAGCAGAGTAATGAAGCCAATTCATAGTTGGGGATTATTAGGAGGCCATGATTGGTAAGGGCCAATGGGAAATTTGGGCAGGACACCGGGGTTACACTCCTACTCTTTTCGAGAAATGCCCCTGAATTTTTAATGACCACAGAGAGTCAGGACCTCAGTTTTACGTCTCATCCGAAAGACGCCTTTTTTTACGGTATAGTGTCCCCGTCACTATACTGGGGCATTAGGACCCATATGGACCACAGGGTGAGCACCCCCTGCTGGTCCCACTAACACCTCATCCAGCAGCAACCTTAGTTTTTCCCAGAAGGTCTCCCATCCAGGTACTGGCCCGGCTCACACTTGCTTACCTTTAGTGGGTTGCCAGTTGTGAGTTGCAGGGTGATATGGCTGCTGGCATGTACTATATCTTTCTGTGTTGGGATTGGACATGTGGGTTGGTCCTCTGTGCCTTCTTCATTTTGGAGAGCTGCTCTCCCTGTCAGGGAGGGATACCAGATGTTGACATCCCATGATCTTATCAGATAAGCAGCCCAATCTAACTGGATAAATCAGATCTCTGATAACATATGAGGCTGGAAATTTCCAGAAATGACCAGGCAAGCTCAGGTATATACCTGAGCTTGCCTACAAAGGGGAAATACAGAGGCAGGAAAATAGCAAAGAATTAACTTTGCACTTGTGTTCCTCATGGACCAATTGAAACCTACCATGTATTGGGACCTGAAAGGTCTCAGCTTATATTTAGAGTATTATGAAATATATTTCACAACTATTTTTCACAGTATCACAATGGATATAAGATCTCTAAATCATCAGGTTTTAATTACAGTACTGGAGGGCATTGTACTTGTTTTAGTTTCAGTTTAGCTCCAACATGTAACCTGTAATTGAAGATGTATGTGCTAAATTGGATAATTTTAATTAGAATTATTTTCAACAGAAAATAAATTTGAAAAGCCCTGCTTTTGTCAATTAAGTACACTATGTATTGAAAGCTCAAAACGAATGAAAAACAGAAAACACAGGGATCCATCTGCACCAGAGCAGAAAATTCCCCTTCAAAATGAACATTTGGCATGCCTTAGAGCATATTATGAGGAGAGAGTAAAGAGAAAATGGGAAAGAAGCAGGAAAAAGCATGTGAATTAGAGAGCTCCATCAAAACATGTCTAATGAAGACAAACCTTTCCTTTTCAGTTTGAAACTGGTGCTTTGCAATTTATGCTTGGGAGCTGTCTTCCCAGTGTCTTCTCTGTCTTCTTTCTTCTTTAAAACCCTCTTTGATCCATATCCAGGTGCTTTGTGCAAGTATGGGGTAAATTCTCTTTATATTAACTCTTCTTGTTTTTGCCCATCCTTCAGGTACTCTGTGGAAGGATTCCTGGAGAAGAATAAAGATCCTCTGTTCCAGGACTTCAAACGCCTCATGTATAATAGGTCAGAGGTTCCTCTCCACCCAACTCCTCACTCTTCCCTTGTCCTTTCATTGCTATTCTTTCAGCCCACCTGACTGACTACATACCCACCTATCCTGACCTCTGTGCAGACCACAGTGAACATTAATCATATAGGAGGACAGCTCTTATTAATAATATAAATCTTTGTTTTGTCTTAACCTTTACCTCTAGATCATTCATTGTTTGGAGAATAGATGCTGCTCAATATCTCCTACTAATCTCTCTCCTGACCCTTAGTTTATTGCTGCTGGCATGCCACAGGGTTCTGCCTTGGATATTTAATATTTACACGGAATATTTACAAGGTCAGGTTATTCAATGTCCATGCAAATTCTGTTATATAAGTACTGTTATACTCAGATGTGCTTTTCCTTTTAAACTGACCATGATATAGCTTTTGCAGTCTTGCCTCACTGGATTATTAAAAAGCAGAATGTATACAGTAGTAACTCCCTACAGATAATTTCTGATAAAGTCTGGGATCTACCAGATGAAATACTGAACTGAGTTATTTTCTCCTTATTGCTTTTATATCATTATAATATCAAAATAATGATCTGATATACAGTGTTATACAATATATTATCATACATTATTTCTAGCCTGTGCCATTCATGTAGAGTATTCAATGTAACCAAGACAGCCTATATTAATCTTTTCAGTATTTCCTATTTACGTCCATTTGCGACATTGCTACTGTAGATGCTGAGAGATTAGTTTCCTCACCTGCATTCCTCACCTTGAACACAGTGTATTACAATGCCCTCCTAACAGTTCTTTAAGAAGTCTTCTAGATGTTCAAACTGCAGCTACCCATGTTCTAACAAGGACAAAACCTCATGATCATATTTCACCTGCATGATTTCACCTTCACTATTTACTTAATTTTAAAAGCATTATTGCTAACATACTGTATAAATCCTTAAACAGCATGATTCATTCTTACATTGCTGATCTGCATACTCCTTATCACCCCACTCAAAACCTGAGCTATACTAGCTGTACCAAACTCCAGGCCGCAGTCAAGGTGACAGGATTTTATAGATTAATGCACCAAGTCCTAGGAATTCCATGCCAAATGATAATAGCTTTTCCAAATCACTGGAGATGCTTAAATCATGTTTAAA